AGTCGACGTTGACAAGGTGAGTTATCCTCACTATATCGATAGGGCCTACGACACCAAGGCTGACCCTTTAGTTGTTAATGTTATGGTATGCTACATGTGGTTATGATCTTTTAGATCGGAATCGGGGTAGATAGTATGTTATGCTCTTATGATCCGTAAGGATTGGTATGTTAGTGACCTGCTAGGTGTGTACTCTAGTTACGAGAGAATTCTATGATTGATGATCAATGTGATAGATATGTTTTATGTTTGTATATGCCAGTATATTATAGTTATGCGCACATGGTTATTTGCTTGTTGGTTGAGTTGAGGCGGTCCTGCTTTGTGCTGAAGGCCAACATACCCTATGAGCGGTCCGGGGAGACTGCAGGCCCACGAGGCGGACCAGTCATGCCGAAGGCTTGGGATAGATTCAGATAGACTGTAGGCCCAGTAGGACGGTCCAGTCAGGCCAATGGCCAGTATGCATGTTGATTGATTAATTGTCACTGATATGACATTGTCAGTGTGGTATTGGTATTTTGGGGGTAGCTCACTAAGCCCTCGGGCTTACAGTTTCAGTTTATTGTTTCAGGTACATCAGGAGATCATGGCAAGGCGAAGGCGTGACCGTACCACTCCTCATCCTTATGTTATGATTTTGGGACACTCTGATGGATATTGATTTGAAAACATTTTTGTAAACAATGCTATTTGATTTTTATTTATGATCGAAAAAGTTTAAATTTGGTGTAAAATTTATGGATGTTACACGTGTGGACAATGTTATTCTGTGAGAATGACAAAGAAAATATGTTTGATAATATGAATATGTTCAATCTTACATAACTATTGTCATTATCACACATTCTCAGTAATTAAATTATCTATAAGGTTATTATAGAATTTTTATTATTATTCTCATTCTATCAGAGTTTATTGAGTCATATTCTGTAAGAATGAAAACGAGTAAAAAAAGATGCATGAGAACAAAAATGAATAAGAATTAGTGAGAATGCATGAAAATGACGATATTTGTTTGAGGTTGAACGTATTCACATTACTAAACAACCTATTCTTGTTTGAGGTTGAACGTATTCACATGAAAATAACGATATATATAGAATTGCACTGTCCACACATCCGCACAATAGTTGTCCATCCACATTATAACTTAGCCCTATATATATATATATATATATATATATATATATATATATATATATAAAGAGGTATGCAAAAACACCTTGAAATCTTGAATGAATATTAATCATTGGTGGGCAACTGGGCATCGAAATAATTGTTGGTTATTGTGAGGATTTTTTTTAGATGACCATTGGAATTTTCGTTGGTAATTCTTGTTGGTGGGTTAAAAATGTAAGTTTGTATTGTTTATGTTTATTTAAAATTTGAAATGAATATGTTCTTTCTTAAGTCAATAATTGATTCTTAATAATAGCAGATACCTAAATGCCAAATTGAAATGCGTCGAGGAGGCATTAAAAGAATGGAGAAGAACTCATTATCTGAAGGAAGAAATGGAGATCAAGAAAATTAAAGATCTAGTTGATAAACTAGATATAAAGGCTAAATCGCGGGCACTTACCAACAAAGAAATCGAGATTAGAAGGACGAGATACAAAGATATTGAAAGACCCCTTTCATACTTAACATTTTCATAAAGTCAAAAACATGCTACATGCATATTTATATCTTATTACAAAAGACTGGATACAAACCGACTATTAAGGCTTTTACAAGATTTCATAAAATACATAACTACCCAAGAATTTATAACACATGTACATATACATATATGTATGATAAGTACAAACATAGTAGTGTTAACTATTCTAAGTCTTCCCATAAAATATGCTTACTCTGGATGCTTATTACCTGAAATAATTAAACACCGAGACAGATAAACGGTGACGCTTAGTGAGTTCAACAATAGTTACAATATACGCTATGCCTTATATATGACAATATGACAGAATCAAAGAGGAACAAAGAACAACAAATGCATAAGTGTATCTTATGACATGCTCTCCATATCAACCAATGATTTGATTCAAAGATTTACGATCAATGACACATAATGATTTCACCATGATATACATCATAAAAACTCCAACCCAAGAGACACAGAAAATAAACGATTTCTTATTATTATTTTGCTACTATATACAAGCTTTTAGCCCTACCTAGCCCACTACCAATACCAAAGTGATACGAGTCATTCTGTATGTGGCCAAAAGACAAAAAGCCAATACCAAAGTGATACGAGACATGCTCTACATGGCCAAAGGCATAATACCAATACCAAAGTGATACGAGTCATTCTCTACATGGCCAAAGGCACAAAACCAATACCAAAGTGATACGAGACATGCTCTACATGGCCAAAGGTATTAAAACTATTACTTGAATAACACAAGAAAGCACATTGCACATATACCACATAACATACAATTGTCCTTATATTGAACTCACCATGAAATAACCGAATGATAAAATGGTAATTTGGGCAGCACTTCGTGTCTAAAATGACTTTCTTTGATGAAACCGAGAGTTTTTGTAGAAAACTGGGTTGTGTGCGGGTAGAGTTTCAACTAAAAATATTATTTTCTCGGGGTCTTTGGTGCTCCGGGGCTTGCTTCGGGTGTTGGGGTAGTTCCCTAGGCTTCGGGGGGATGTTAGGATAGCTTAGAAGAAATGAGAAGGTGTAAAAGTGTAAAATTCTCTAAACAAATCCGGGAGGTCTCGCACCCCTTTTATAGTGGCCGAAGCCTCACATTACGCAAGGCGTAATTCCTAGTACGCGAGGCGTACTGCCTCGCAAGGCTCTTCGTTGGGCGTACACTTCCGTACGTTGAGCATAGGAGTGGATTACTTCGGACATGTCAAGGCTACGAACATGTGTGCAACATGCGAGGGAGCAGGCGACGTGGCCAATCTCGGACCGTGAACACAAGTACGCTGGGCGTACTCCTTCGGACCAACCTCGAAGTTTGTGTCTAAAACTTCAAAAATGCATATCTTTCGCATACGGGCTCCTTTTTTGACGTTCTTTATATCCATGCATAGGTGAGATTATACGCTACAACTTTCGTTTAGACTTTGTCGGCTAATTTTGACTTCATTTTTAATATTATATTTTTAACAGACCGGGACAGGAAAAGTCCGTTAAAAATTCATAACTTCTTCATCTGACGTCCGTTTTCGTCTGTCTTTTTACCGTTGAACCACTATTAATAAGATCTTTGATTCTCGTTTAAGTTGTGTTGGCTAAAAGTCACTCGATCTTTATTTCGAGTTTCGGGCTATGTACTGCTATGCCGAATCTTAGAAAAATCATAACTTCCTCATACGAAGTAAGATTTGGACATTCTTTTTATGAAAGTTCTCGGTTTAACGAATACTACAACTTTCATTTAGATCACTAAAGCTAAAAAGTATTTTATTGAAACTTACTTTTTACGTCATAGGGCGGCGTGCCGGTTCTGTCGTGAAATTTTGATAAGTCATAACTTCTTCGTTATAACTGAGATTTCGATGAGGTTTTTGCCAAAACGTTTCTAACAAGATAATTTACAACTATCAATAACAATATTTTTACTTATTTCCAACTTAAATGTTATATTTTCGTTAATTTTGATAGTTGATTTTTGATCGGAATCTCATAAGACTTCCAATACTTCCTGAATGATTCTAAAAATAGTTTTACTTTAAATCTCATAAATCTATTTTATTAGAACTCAATGCTCAAAACCATATAATATTTAATAATATTCAATTTTAAACTAACAAAACAAGATAACTGAACGTGTATGTTACAAATATAATTGAAAAAGAAAAAAGATTGGTCATGGACGCTAACCAAAAATAAAAAATAAGATGGGCGGTTGATGTAAATGAAAATTCAAGGCTATTTCATGGTTTCATCAATAACAACAATAGAAAGAATCATATCAATGAACTGATTATCAATGGAGAATGGTGCATTGATCCCATCAGGATTAAGGCGGAGGCTTTCAGGTTATTTCAATCAAAACTCCAGGAAGCATGGCCGAGCAGACCGGAATTTCAAAGTAACCTCTTCAACAAGATCTCACAGATTGACAAGTCAAATATTGAAATGCCTATAACTCTTCAGGAAATAAAAGACGTTGTGTGGGCTTGCAGGAACGACAAATCCCCCGGTCTTGATGGATTTACATTTAAATTCATAAAAAAATATTGGGACATTCTGCTGGGAGATATTGCATCAGTGGAGAAATACTTTGAAAGGCATGGAAAAATCGACCCATCTTTCAATTCATCTTTCATTTCTCTTATACCCAAAATTAAAGATCCACAACAATTAAACGCCTATTGACCAATAAGCTTGATTAGCTGCATTTACAAGATAATTGCAAAAATTCTTGCAGTGAGATTGAAACAGGTCATGGGGTGCTGTATAGACGAGGTTCAAACAACTTACGTGGCAGAAAGAAACATCTTGGATGGTCTGCTTCTTGTTAATGAAATATGTTCTTGGTCTAAAAGAACTAAAAGGAAAGTTCTGTTGTTTAGGGATGAGCGTGGGACGGAACCGGTACCGACACGTACCGTTCCCGATTTCCCGAAAACCGAATTTGATCAAAAGTCAATCCCGAGTACCGGACCGAATTAACATTACCGGTACCGGTACCGAATCCCGAAGTTCATGTATTTGGAGAACCGAGTACCATCCCATATTTTTAAGTTTGGTATAGTTCGGTACCGGTTCCGGTAGGGTACCGGTACGGGAACGGGATTTGGGACAAA